ACACACACACACACACAAACTCACACAGACAGCCTCTCGTCAATATGCATTTTCTGCATTGCATAGCTGCAAAAAAAAATAATCTGTTGCAATGATGGCTCGATGGGCAGAAGAGGCTAATTACTAGAATAAAGCCGAATTCCACATCTCCTTACACTTAAATTCACACTAGCAATAGAAGTCCACTGAATAAAATTGTGAACATGTGACTGTACTGTCTGCCGACGCTTGCTAGCACTCGTCAGCGCGGTTGTCAATACGATCATGTAAGAAAGTAAAATGAGATGTGCTGCGCAAGTTGCTCACGTGCGAATAACCGCAGCGTATTATACGTTAGTGAGTGCTGTGTGTGTGTGAAAGCATCCCTGTAAAGTCTAAAACTGATTTCCCAAGTGGTCTTGGTTTGCTTGTTATTTCTGGGACAAAAGTGACACTTAAACTGTAGGTGTGTCAGGCAATGATGGCATAAAGTGAACGGGATTGGGTGTGTTGTACAGAAAATGGGACACACCGGCTTGTGAATCTTTTATTTGTATCAAACTATAATGAGTAACCTGGAGAGAGTGTTGTTTTACATGGTTGCGTGGTTTCCATAGACTGCAAAAAAAGAAGTATTATTACCCGTGCCCTTTTTATTTAAAAAATATTTAACATTAGCAAATGTTACAATTTCTGCCTGCGAGAAATGGCCAAAAAAGAGGGATCGTTGAGAGAACTGAAAGGAGGGAGGGGCGGCAGGCTATGAAGAGAGGGCTAAAACGTATCTTATTTGGTGCTACTACTTAGAGTAGTGCCAGGCGCAAAACCGGGCACCTTTTAATATTTTTGACCATTTGCGCTTAACGTAATTCTGTATTTTCAAAATGTTTTTTATGCGTTTTTGCTGTGCAACGCTATAGCAGCGCTAGCGCTAGCGCTATAGCGTTGCATTATTACTTCAAACGATTACCTCAAAATTATCTCAAAATTTGCAACTTGATGCAGTGCTAACTCAGAAACTTCCCAGAAAACAGTGGCTAAAATTTTGTCAGCATTTTTGTGGCCCATATAGGAAATCGTATGCCCTAAAAACCTAAAATGAGTAAGGATTTGCACTTGCGCCACAATTTAGGGCACTTCGAAAACATTTCTTACGAAGTGGATATTTCGCATACTGAATAAGGTGCGAGGCTGAAACTTCGTTGGGATATTCTCTTTTCAAGTGCGATCTTAATTTTGCTTGTAAGTGAAATTCCTTGCAGGTGGGAATGAGAAACACTCAACTTTACCTAAAAAACAGAAACGAGCGCGTTTTACAGCGAACGACCGCCCTCATCCAAATATGTAAATGAACATTCAGTTCACTTGCATATTATGATTTTTCGACAAACGACCGCTCGAGCAACATTTTCACTTTTTAGTGAACTGGAAATTTGCATTTTTCATTTTCTCAGAAAGCGAGCATTTCCGAAACGACCAGGCTTCATGCAGAAAACTGATAATCATGTACCTGGAGGTCCATGCGGCTGTGTAACGCACTGCCTTCATCCCAACCGACGCCCTTTGTCCTGCGTGGTGGAAGGGAACAAAACTCGGCTAATATGAGCCCAAGTATTAGGCTACAGCGCAGGGGTCGTTCCTGCTATTAGCAACGTGCGAATTTCGTGCAAAAACGCATGATCGCTCCGGCAAGTCTGGTGCGTTCCAGCCTGGGTTACAATCGCCTGTCATATTTCGCGTCGTTCTAGCTGATTTCATCTCCCCCTAGCTTTTGGCCTTATGAAGCCAGCTGTGGGCTCGTTCGTTCAGCTGAACGTCCTGACTTTTACGCCACTGAGAGGTCACTTGTTCACCACTTTCATTTGCTATGTAAACGCAAAACCTACCAATGATTTCGGCTGATCTATCTTCTCTACTTGTGCTTCTTCAGCTTTTTTCTGAAAATACGGTCTTTCATGAAAATTCATTTAATGGGGGGTGCTCGTGCAGCCAAAGGGATCAACGACTCTTTTACTGAGGCTTTGTGGGTTTTGCAGCATCGAGCGAAAGAGGGTGGCATTTTTGGAACAATTGCATTTGGTTTTTTTTATTGTTACTGAAGCATCAATTAGTTAGTAATCAGTGCTTCTGTGACATGTTGGTAATATTACTGAAAAGGTACTGCAGTAACGATAAAAAACTCGCTGTGCACTGTTTGTTTTACGAACTGCATCGATGCTATTAAAGTCATCAGCAAGATGAATAAAGAAAGCTATATGAGTGGCATAGGGCTCACAGAGGTGACAAGCGTCGTGGCCACGGCAGTAGTCTTACTCAGCATATGTCTGCTGCTTGTTGAAGCAGGTTTGCTTCGGATACCAGCAAAGGCGATGCCAGCAAATTAAATAAATGGCTAGCGCACCGACTGCCGGTGCGAAGATGCGTTTTATGCATAAATCCCCGCAGACTTTTGTCGCTAATGGCACTTTTTTTCCGGCAGGCGCTACTAACTAAAGGAATTGATACTGGCCGCAAGGACTGTTAGAAAGCATCCCTTTAAAGTTTCACCGAGTTAGCAACATTCCTAGTTCTCGAGTTAAAATTTCAGCATTCCTGGTTCTCGAGTTAGCAGGTTACCCAAAAAAAAAAAAATTGCACGAGCTCCTACGTGAGACCACGCGTACCGAAGGCTGGGTTTGAACTCATTAATACCCTTGTGGACGGGGAACATCCTCTCAAAATTCCAGTCTTCTAACTTCTTAGGTTCCCGGGTTAGCAGCTTACACAAAAAAACTTTCATGGCCCCGTACGTGGGGACCGCGCACACCCGGGGACTGGGTTTGAGCGCGCTAGTACCTAAATGGATGGAACACCTCCTTAAAATTTCATTCTAGCTTTTCTAGTTCTCGGGTTAGCAGCTTATCTGTCAAAAACTTTGGCGGGATCGTAAGTGGGTGTCACGCGGTAAGGGAGCCCATTTTGGGGATTGCGGCCCGTACACGCATGTAGATTAAGTTCCCAAAATTTCAGCCCTGCAGCTTTCATAGGTCTTGAGATGAAAAATTGGTACAGACGCAAACACAGGCAACCCCTCGTCAATTTGTGTTTTCTGTATTGCATAATTGCCAAAAACGCATAAAAAACTATTGTAAAAAAAAATAGTAATGCTGAACAACGTCATTATTTCTCGTTTTTTAAAAGAACTTCTCCGAAATATTCTTTATTAAGAGCGAATTTAAAATTTATCCCCCCTCATCCCCCTCCCTTTTTCACCCGCCCCTCCCCACTCCTTCAGAGAGATCACTTTGATCGTATCCTCGTTATGTAGAAGTTTAACACCTTCGTTTTAACTTAAATCTGAGTTTAGCAAATGCTACTTCCCTGTGCCTACAGTAACTGCTGCCGGAGCTACCTCCCGAAGCCTTTTTCGGTTAATGCGGGTCATTACTAAAGAAAGTTCTGTGAATCCAGAAATGTTTATAAAGCATATGCGTGGAGAAATACTTGAAATACCTTTTCTGCTTGTTCCTTCTGATTTCCAGGCTCTTCAGCTTTGTCCTTATTGATGCCCGCATTATTTTCCGCCGCTTTTGCTTCACTGCTTTGCTTTTTTGGCAAGCTTTCTTTTTCTTCATCTTTTTTCGTCTCGCTTGTTTTTGCTTTTTCCTTTTCCTTTTCCTTCCTCTTTCCTTTTTCTTTTTCTTTTTCCTTTTCCTTTTCCTTTTCTTTTTCTCTTTCCTTTTCTTTTTCTTTTTCTTTTTCCTTTCCCTTTTCCTTTTCCTTCTCCTTTTCCTTTTCCTTTTCCTTTTCCTTTTCCTTTTCCTTATCCTTATCCTTGTCCTTTCCCTTTCCCTTTTCCTTTTCCTTTTCCCTTTCCTTTTCCTTTTCCTTTCCCTTCCCCTTTTCCTTTTCCTTTTCCTTCACTTCAGACACTTTAACCAGTTTCGGCTTCTTACTTTTTTTAGTGGAAGATTTTTCACCCACTCTTTTTTTCACGCCAGCTTCCTTTCCTTTCTTATCCTTGAGTTTTTGTTGTGCAGCCTTTTCATTCGTAAGCTTCTTTTCCTTATCACGCGATTTCGATTTGCTGCTGCTTTTCTCCTTCTTGTCTTTTGTTTTTCCAGGAGCGAAAGCTGCGGAGGACGAACTACTTCTTTTTCTAGGCTTCTGTTTGGATTCTTTCTTTTTTGAGTCTTTCGATGCCATAGTCTCTTTGGAACCTTTCGATTTCGATGGCTGCACACTCTCACTCGATTTTGATTTCACTGGCTTTGGAACAACAGCTTTAGTAGAACTTTTAGGCTTTGAAGCAGTTGCTTCGCTCGGTCTCTTCACCTCTTTTTGAAGCGTCGTTGAAGTTGCAGGCTTTGACGGTACAGCTTCTGGAGTTGACGAACGACTTTCCTTTTGAGGAGCAGCTTTCAGTGTCGCTAAGCTGTCTTTCCTGAAACACCGGGAAATTGTTAGTTATTGCACGCCAGAGTAAAATGAAAAGGTAATAAGCGACGCAGTCCCATTCAAACTTTGGTCCTCACACTCGAAAAGGAGACGTAACTCATTGGCGCATGTGCGCAAGAATCTAACTTTGAAACAAACGAATGGACTGGGGGTCCAACTGGATCCGCGATGGGGCTTAAAATCAGCATTTAAAAAAAAAAGCTGTTCAAAGCTTTGAATGATTTTACTGTTATTTAAACCAATGTTCCGTGGCAAAAGCAAAATGGCTTAATCCTTATTGTATGCTCTGAGGCACTTCAAGCTGGAAGTCCTTCAGGAAACATAGTGGGCAATAAACTGATATCAAACCGATCAACAGACTCTACAACATTAGCGAAAGTATCCATTAAAGTTGCCAGCTGCGTATGTGAAGAACTAAGTTTGTGAATTAATAACAGTACCAAGAATTCCAGGCCTACCAAGCATACGAACAATCATATTTCTTTTGGGGAAGTAGGTAGCCCGGAATACCGAATCTCTAATTTGTAGAATGATCGAAGTGTTACTTGGTTGCTGCTGGCTGCTTCGATTTGCCTATTTCATCCTCTTGTTCCTGAAACAGTTAATAGACAAAATCTATGAATACTTAATAGACAAAATTTCGATACTGAAATGTTGATGTGCGTTCAGTTTTGAAGACACACACACACACAAGCAGAATTGTTTTTATTTATAGCAGTAAAATTAATTAACAACAGACCGTTTCCGTGACACTTATAACAGGTGATAGCATAGTT